TGTCTTCGGATCAGTTCCCATCCATTTCTTCAACCTTTCGCAAACTTTTTAGGTTAGCTGCAAAGACCCAGACATGACGTAAAGATCGAAAGGGCAGATTCTGGAAGCAGATTGCACTCATTCACTAGATTCCTCTTTTGCAGGGAAATGGACTTCGGCCTCTACATTTAGGTTGAGTCACCCTCGAGTTTTATGCAAAATTGCTCTAATCACGAGCTTTAGGGCTAGTATCTCGTCCGATATCGATTCGTATGGTCCGTTTACATTCGTACTTAGCGTAAGTTTCCGTACCCGCTGTCACTGATCACCGGAGACAGATTGTTCTTTTGAGAATTACCTTTTCCAATATGCTAATACTCCTTCGAGGCTTTCTATTATAGAAACCACGATTACCACTGTAATTCTCAACTCATCCCCGCCCACAACCACCTTTGGTTTCTTCTGCAGACACGGGCATTCCCCACGTTGCTTAATGGAACGTGCGCCGCTTGACCCCGCCCACCCTGAGAAGCACACTCCTTGCGTATGATACACAACCTTCCCCTTGTTTTCACAGTTAATAGTTTCTATCCAAAATTCTTAGTTACAGTATGCTCACTGACCTTTCAAGCCAATTCCCGGAATTTCGTTCTGGAAAGGAATGTTAATAAAACGATTCCTTCTTTTTACTTGTCAGTTGGAGCGGAGCGCTAAATGAGTCCGTGGGCGAAGACAAACTTGACTTTGACTGATCTTTTAGATAATCCTTCATCCTAAGTGAAGAATTCCCTTAGGTGCGAGTTCGAACCTACCTGGAAGTTTGAGATGATTGTCAGGTGTCGTAACAAGGGTTTTCTACTGTTTCTAGACACATCGACCTTTTCGCTACGTTATCGACTGAATTCATCGGTCGTTTTGCTTGGTTTCTTCATAAAAAGCTCAACTATCTAGGTTTAGATCAGCTATTCGAATTCCTTTTATGTTTATTCAATGAGTACGCGGTCACTATCAGCACTTGTTGTGTTAATGTTATGTGAACAAGAACTACGCCATTCTTTGTTCTCATGTCCACAACAGTGCATAAGTTCGCCTTCAAGACAACCAGTGGAATTTCGTTGTTTTTCCTATCAGCATCGATTTCGCAATGAAATCAATCCACACCATGTCATTGGACAAGTAGGAGAATCGAAGTCACCAGTGTATGTCATGGCGATGTAGCTTGAGGTCGTGCGAGTGACTAAAAATTTAATGAGACAAGTGTGAGCAATGACTGTTTGTCATTATGCCGTCAATTGGACGGAAAACGTAGGGCGTTGGCTGTAGCATTCAGGTGTCTAGTCAATTAATATAGGCGCTTCTAATTATTTCTTCCTATTTCATCCTTCATCTGAACTTGTTATTCCTTTTCATCCACTGTTTTGTGATTTTTATCACTTGTTTATTGTAATTCTTTTATTTATTATTCATTTAATTATTTTTATTTTTTATATTATATATTTATTATATTCTATATTATTTGTATTTGATTTATTTTTCAGATTTTCTCTTAGAGTTACTACAAATCTTTCATACATTCTTTATGTACATGAGGGGATTCTATTCTTGAAACCTGGGCATGCCATGTCACCGTAGTAACTGGAGCAGATCTTCCTGTGTACTTTTCTAAAGCAAAGCCCAATCGCTACCCTCCCATTCACAACACTGCCTGTTCGTTGATAACATTTGGCAACGGTGCTGATTGTGGTGTAGTTTCAAGTGGCATACACTGCTACACGCCGGGGTCCCGGATCAACATCCACCTCGGTCAGAAACCTTCCATCCCTCCGTGGTTGGAAACTGGTACCAGATTCGAATGGTAGAATAAAAGCGCTGAATCGTACATCAGTTGACCACAACAAGCCATTGTATAGGCCACATCACTATTTAAAACGTCTCTACGATTCTGAATGGGACCAGAAT